GTGTGTGTGTGTGTGTGTGTGTGTGTGTGTGTGTGTGTGTGTGTGTGTGTGTGTGTGTGTGTGTGTATATATACACACACAACACACACACAAATATAATGTCTAAACTGCACTACTAATAATATTATAACTCAAATTTATTGCTAGAAAGAAATCATGATGAGTCTTTATGTTTAAAATATTTATCTTTTCCTAAACTTAAAGCACATTAAATTATGGGTGGAAAATAAAATCAGTCTGATGAATTATGACAGCTAAAGATAAAATTAAAATTTTGATTTGACAAATATAAGCTATTCTAGTAACCTGGACGTGTCCACAGCTTTCCTTCCCCATCGATAGCACCAACCCGCCAACAGAGACCAGGCTTTTGCTGATGTAGGACACTGGTTAACTCCAAGGTGAAGAAGTTGTCCAAGAGCACAATCTGTAGGTCCTACAGTATCACCTGCTTGAAAATATGATCCTGAGAAATCTAGAATAAATACAGGAAACTACTGAAAAAAACATCTAATTATGCAATTTCAAAATATACCTGTAAACATATAAAAATTCTGAGTATTTTTACATATACAGTCTTACACTAAACTAAGACTTGATGTTCAAAAAATTATACCATTACCAAAAAAAAAACATGTTTTGAGGAAATTAAAGTCTACTCTAGAGAACCAAACAGCAGCTGAATGAAATAATGATACAGAAAAACTACAAACAAAAAAAATAAAACAATGGAGAGTCAAACTACCTACCACTTAAACTTCTCCTCAAGCTATCAGTTAAACGTGACATATTTGAAGATGATCGTGTTGACATTTCTAGCAACCAGTTAAAGTTTTCTACATCCTTTTCTAAGTTTTCATTCTGGCATGACGACAGCTGAGTCAACAATGTTGTATCTTGACGTAAGTACTTGACAAGTGTAAGGATAGACCTAGAATTGAAAGATGTACACAGCTGCAAACACACTCATGAAGCACTACATAAAGGCTCATTTTGTTGCCTTGATTTGGCTATCACTACAGTATGTTATTTGGCAAAAAACATTTGTTAAAAAATAAAAATGATTGGGTACAAAAAGTATTTTAATAGCTTTGTCAAAATATCTCTGAACAAAAAAGTGTATTTTAATCAAAAAGCCATAACAGGATACATTTTTTAGTTTTAATTATTTCAAATCAACAAAACCATCCTCCTCCTATTTCATTTGTTTGTCCAATTTTGTGCAAGGTTACACAATGGAAATCTATGATAGCCATTCTACGTTTTAAAGAGACAGATCAGGGGGAAGGCAGCTACTCAACACCACCCACTGCCCAAAATTGTGAAGCACAATTTTCTTATTTTTTTGGTGGTAATGGGATATAACCATGAAAAATCATATCCACATTCTAGCATGCTAACCACAGGAACAATAGTCCTGCTACATACTGTAACTATCAAGTAAAAGGTTAGTTTACCTCTCTCAGAGGTTAAATGAATAAGCATGTAATACACACCAATGTTCATATTTCAAATATAAATGTAAATAAGAAAAGTTTGTTTTTAAAATTTAATTTAGCTGTTTTGATATACACATTTCATAATACATTAGCATTCCTTACACAAACTTTCAAAATGTTGTAAACATTGTCATAAACAGAGGCCCTGAAAAACATTCAACCACACACACACACACACACAAAAATCATTACTATATAGTTCTTAAGCATTTAATCTTCACTTATGCATCAAGTATGCTGCAGTTTATAAAAGTTTTATTTCAGAAAACAGTAAGGTATTTATACTATAACTTTTAATGCAGTAGGTGCATCTTCATAAAATTTGGTAGACTTTTAGTAAACATTACAAGTTTTTGTTACACACACACACACACAAAAAAAAAAAATTTTTTTAACAAAGTATTTTTGCTAAAGATTTGTTTGTGAATATATTAAGACTGTTTTGTTACTAGTCCAAGTGCGAAGTGATTTTCATGTTATGATTAAAAAAGCTATTCTTTGTCCCCAAAATTTCAAATATCTCTTGTGTAATCTCTAAAACCTCAAATACATTTCAAATGTTTGTTTTCAATAAAACTTTATATGGAGGTTGGTCAATTTGACAGACTTCATAACCACCAAAATAATCTAGATTACCCTTTTTCTTTCTAGAATGACTTCAAATTGTAACATGAAATTACATTTGTTTATCTTAAGCAGCTTTAAACTCCTAACAGTATACATCTATTTATACTTACAATTTATTGTTGTATTGCTCTGTGATTGCCCTTTGAACAAATTACTACTATTCATGCCATTATAAGATGTAAATCATATGGGGGAACATGGAGCTCAAGTTATGCTATCAAATTACATTACCCACTAGTTACTCCGAGTCCGAGCTTCTCACATGCCGCTTACCTCCTGAAACATTTTTATTATACTACTACTATTACTTATTTTATCTAATCTAACCTTATCTAATCTAAAGAGACCCTTATTTTTATATTTTAGTTACTTTTATAATGATAAATGAAGAATTAACATGAAAAACAAGAAATAAAGTACTTACCCAGGTCTTTTATCTTTTGCTGTCAACAGTCGATGATACTTAACCCTAATTCGATGACGAGGATGGTAATAATGCACTAAGTAATTTTTATTTAATTAAATAATGCATCAAAGAACATATAATAACAACATGCAAAAAGCAGACAATTTCCCCTAACAATCACAATTTTTCTGGTTTTCTAACTATGCAACAAAAACCATTACAAATTCATCCAAGCTAGTCATTATCCTTCCCATAAGAACAAAACTTGTACTAACAGAGAAATTGATAAACTGACAATTATTTGTTCAGAACACAACATAATATAATATGTCATTTGATAGATCAAAACGTTGGCTTTCTTTTGGTTATAGATAATATAGAATTAAATGTAAGAAAACTATTAACAAATCCTGAAAGAGGGAATGTGACATGTGGGTGTGGCAAGAGGGTGTCAGGTTTTCTATCTTATTGCTCTGTAACCAAACAAGAGTGAAGGCTATAAAAATTATGGTTTGTCTGAGCAATGAAAGCATTATAATGAGTAATTTACGTTAAATTTCATACTTCTCAGAAGGGCAGTAAATAAATTAGAGAAGAGGGGATATCTAAAGATCAAATGTCACAATTCTCATACAAGGAGAAATTCAGATTTTTTTAAATATTGCCTTAGAAAATGAAGAACTTAAAACTTATATACTATTAAAATATGGAATATTAGCTATGATTTTATGCTATATTAATTGGTATAACAAATAAAAAGTAGTTTAATTAAATTTTGAAATTAACTCTAAAAGACCGTGACATGCACAGTTAGACCCACCCATTTCAAAAGAGTTAACAAGCCATATGT